TTTTCAACACTCAACCCACTCACTTGAAATGTTCATGTACCTGTTTATAAATATGTAGCCCAGGTTTAAATGTTCAATCGTCCAAGCCCCTCTAACAGAAAACGTACAAGTATCAAGCTGATAAAATTCGGCTTGGGTTTAAACTTCCTGTGGTGCTGCAGCCCACAAAGGTGCAAGAGGCATCAAAACAGCCCACTACAACTATGTTTCCACCAACAAAAAGTACAGACAACGATGAAACGATGTAGATTTTGGGCGCTGGCGCGTTATCAGTTGATTGAACTCTGCCCTGTTTGCCCCAGTGATGCAGAAACACTCCATGCTTATAGCCTGGACTTCACAAGCCATCAAACCATCAAAGCTTATTATATGCCATGGACTTTACTGTTCTGATCAGTCTGCTACAACGGAAAAAAAAACGATCACCCTAATTATGTGGCAGAATGCAAAACCAAACTGTATATGCAAAGAAATACTGTACAGTGTTTCTTCTCACAGTTCAAAGCAATCTGTTTAGAAGTCTAAGGGCACAAAAGATGTTAAGCCCAGCACTCAAAATGATACCACCAAGTTAGTGTAAGTGTTGTTTGAAAGGGAAAAAAAAGGAAGCTTGGGGTTGATACATCCACTGTGCAGTCACATTGATTTTCTCCACAATTCCTATTCCATGTTCTACTGAATTAAGACAGCTTTAGACTGCTTATCTGAAGACCTGCACTCTCACACTCACTCATTCAATTTCCCCGTTCCCACATGCTTGCCTCGGAAGTGTCCCCACGCAGAATTTCTTTGAGATGAGCAAAAAAGAAAAGAATGATAAACGAATTTAAAAAATCCAAACGGCACTCTTGAGAGTTTTGCTGTCACAAGCAAAACGCTCCATTACTTTTGACTGTTTATACGGTTAGGTCCCAGCAGAGTAGAGGTCTTGTATCTGACAGCATTCATCCTCGTAGCGCTGTGTGTGTATTCACAGGGCTCTCCTACACTGTCATGACACTGCATTATTCATATACAGTCAAAAGGAAGGTAATTTTTCAGGCCTTGGAGTTGTAAGCTGTTTAGATTCAGTACTGATTTAGCAGGCAGTGATAGAAATAGAGAACCCTTGAAATCAACATTATTACACGTTTGTTACACGTGCTCATCGAACAGGATGAGGCTGGCGAGAGCAGCTTGATGTGTCCGTACACCCCTCTATTACACATGTTCAACACCTTTTTTTGTAACATTTGTTTGTCTGCTTCACCTCCATCATCTTGGATTTCAGTCAGCTCATCTCTAGTAGGTTGGGATGAGCACCAAGACGAACAGAGTTTGCCAAGCCTGTGGCGCTCCAACCGCCCACATCTATGTCCCTATGAGCAGTGGGACGGTTCCCACAGATCTCCACTGACTTGGTGTCCAGTGGACCAAGAACCAAGGGGCAGCACGTGTTTCCTCTCTCGTCACAGCACACAGGCTGAAGAAAGACTGTCATAGGGTGAGCTTATCTGTCTGCCTTATTAGAGACATTTGTCTATGTGAGGTTTTTTGGGAAAGTTTTTTGACAGGTTATTCTCAGTCATTAAAGATCCAATGTATAAAATGTAGTTAAGTCTGAAAGCATACATTTCTAATTTCTAACAAACAAAACCGCCTAAACCACAGTGGCAGCAGAAAACAAGAAAAGCCCACACAACTACTCTTTTGTTTGTCTCTGTCGGGCTTCTGTAGAAAAATGGCTGTGTAATATGGAGGAGGAGTAAGTCGAGAAACCCATTTCTGTAAATGACATGTGCATACCACATTAATGAAAACATAGTAATTGAGATGTTGTTGTTTTTCTGCTAATTGCTCCCACACATGGTTGCTTGTGCCCCTGGTCCTTGCTGCGTATTTCAATTGATTAAGATTTTACGTTTGAAATATTTATCGGGAAATGCTGTTTTCTCGCATTTAAACTGTGTGGTTTGCGTTTTTATCTTAAAAGTGTAGGGGACACATGTGGAATAGATCCTCCCCCACTTTAAAGTCACACTTTTGCCACAGTGTGACTTTAAACTTCGACGTCTACCAAGTGTGAATGAAGCTGGGTTTTGAGAAGGATTGCAGTAGAGAAATGTGTTTACATGAAAGTTAGAGGAGACAATCATGACAGGAGAAAACAAACTAAGGGTTAGGGGTTATGCGCCCTAAATTAAGGTGTTTTTGATCTGAAGTGATAAACGTGTTTCTGTGTGTAAAAATTTGGGGATGGCAGTATCAAAAACAAACCTTCATCATAATTAATATCATGACACCATGCGAACCTGTCCACTTCCACTGGTTTCCGATCATTATAAAGACAAGAAATTTGTTCAACATATTTTTAAGGGTGCTATACATTTTATTTAGATATTTGAATACCTTACTGAGGAATTTGACACACACAGTATATACTGCCATCTGCTGGCCTTTTAAAAGTACAATCCCAGCTAAAGCCCAAGCACAGTTGTTTTAACACACAAGGAAAAATGTAAAAACTATTTTCCCATATTTTGTTATTCACATCCTATTTATCACTCATCAACCCTTCTGAACAAACAGAACTTAGCAGGTCAATGACCTATAAACTTTTTGCAAGCAAACAAAAACGGGATGTCTCCCATTTGACTTTATATTGTCACAGGATGTGATGACCTCACTGTTAAAGCAGTTTTTATTTTCTATCAATAGCTTCTTCTCTCTAATATGATAAAAAATATGACCCAAAATTATTGTCATTGTTGCCCAAACTAATCATGATCTTAGCTGATCACCATTTACCTGTTCCATGAAACGGGTAAAATGGCAAAAGCAGAGAGCAATCGCAGTGAGGGGGACCAAAACTTTCCTCAGGTTTAATACTTATAACTGTAGACTAGCTTTGCTTTGCTACTGCTTCCTGTGATTTTTTCCTCACCTTTTTCTCAATTGTTCTGCAGTGTTTAGCCTCTGGCAGCAAGTGGCAGGCTGTCTTTTTTATAAATTTAAGAGGAACTCTAGATATTACACAATTTGTTATGTGAAACTTGGGAAAGAGATAGTTCAAGATTGAATTTTAAAAAGTCAAAATTAGAAAAAAACAAAGCGCCAATACAGCTTTAAAATCAGAAAAGTTTATATAAATTTCCTTAAGCCTAAACCTCTTATAGCTTTACTCTCTGGGTTTAGATTCCCCCTCATGGTTAAAAGCTAGAATTTGTGTGAATGCTCCCCCAGTTCAAAGAACTGCAGGTTTATGGTTTTCAAACTAAAGTGCACTTCGAAAAATGACGTTTCTCAGACAAATCAGTGGCATGAAGAAACTACATATTTATTGACTTTTATATATACAGGAAAAAATAGGCGTATCAGTCACCAGGTCATGCAAAGCGCCATTGCATTACAAATAAATACACATTACAAAACAAACAATATATACTCTACCATAAATATGGAGCCCAAAAAATAAATAAAATCAATATATTCAAAAAATAAACTTCTGGGATGGCACTTATACAAATACAGTAAGCTAGAATTCACTGTCAGCAGGATGCTGGAGATGGATAAGCAGACAGGCTGTTATGAAGGACTTGAGTTGACTTTTTTTCAAACACACACTTTATATGGACTTGGAAAGGCAGCAGTTCATCTGATGAAGACCAGCAACAGTAGAGGATTCAATCCAGGTTTTGCAGGTGAAGTGCAATCTTGAAAGTCACCACAGACAGGACTCGTAAAGGTAATCGCAAAGGATAGGGTTTTAACCGTTACACAGATCCTGTAGGTATGATAATAGGTATGATAATATTTATATGTACATTAGGGTGACAACGCTCAACAGTCACGTCGAGGTGTTATTGCACTACTGTCTCAATGTCTTTTCTTGAGAATAATCAACAAAGTACAATACCGTTGATAGATCTACACAGATGTGAAACAAGAAATCACCTGTTACAGCTACAGACGTGAGTTACTGTGTGAAATGGATTCATTCACTGTCATAAACTCATTCTAGTCAGAGAGCAACCTGCTCCAAATACTTTGAGGCAATCTTGCACTTTCCAGTTAAGTAATTAGAAGTAAAGTAAATGAATACATTCCAGGCTGTGAACGACCCAGGTCTGGACAGCTAACTTGCTGTGAACTGAAAACATATTCACAATAAGGCTACAACATCTAGAGAGTGGAAAGAGGCAATGGAGGGTCAAACAAACACTGATAAAGCACCCATCTGTTCCAAAAGTCACACCAAGCCACTTGGAGGAGCCATGCACAACTAGTGAACACAGATGAAGATACATATATCTGCAACTCCCTTACAAAACACTTAACTTCAAGGCTTTTAAGACAAAAAGGGGCCGCAAAGGTGAGCCTGGTAGTCAGTAGCCAAGGACCATCGACAAAACAGCTGGATATACACCAAAACAATCCCTTTGAAGGCATATCTCTTACACTCACTAACAACATTGATTCACTTTTGGGAAAATGAACTAAGGTCACATTTCCGATGAGTTAAAATTTGTATAAATCCAGCCACTATACGAAAGAGTTATGTCACCGACAAAAGTTGTTTTGAAATGTACTGATAATTTCTTTACTTTAATTGGCTTATCTCCCTTTATAGATCATATATTTATGTACTATGGAAATATACTGTATGTACATGTCATCTTAATTCTGAATATTATGTTTTCCTTCTTTTGAAGTTATTAAATTTGCTCTGCAAAAAATAGAGATCTTTTTATTTCTACCTATTCTAAAGCTTCATATTTTCTATTATATCAGTGACATAATTCCTTCAAACCAATTCATCACTCACTGAACATCCTACCCAGCATGCCTCACTGTTACTTACTCAGGGAAGCCGAAGAGGGACCAGAACACAGAGAAAACAGTAAACACACAAACTTTAATCTCAGACGGATTCACATTAAATGTCAGTCAAGACATCTGGCCACTGGTAAATGGGGGTGGGGAGTGGCATCAGTATAGGGCTGACTATGGTTTAGTTATGTCTAGTCAGAGAAAAGGCTGGCAAAAGACTTTCGTAGGTTGCGAATGGTCTCAGCTTTTGCTTCTTCTTGGCCGTCGCCCCCGGAGCTTGAGACCCCACGGAAGAAAGAGGAGTCACTGAAGGCGCTGAAGGCATTGGTCAGGGACTGGGACTTACTGGGAAGGGAAACAGAAAGGAACAGAAAAGACAGAACAAGGAGAATGAATTTAAGACATACAGGGGGGAGGGAGGAGGAAACGAAGGGTGTCAATGAGGGGGGAAAGGGCAACAGAGTGTTTGAATTTAAATGTCTTTTTACAGCAGAAATTCTATTGATTCTTTGACCCCTAAAACACAATGTATGATAATTGGAGTCTTACTTCAGCAGAGGATGGGTCTTTTGCTGTGGCTGCTCCTCAACAGGAGCCTGGCCCTCAGTGGGTTCGGCAGCTGTTTCAACTGCACTGGGCTCGGGATTTTGGGAAGGAGAGGTTGGCTGAGGCTGAGCCTTAGCAGGAGACTGAACGTTTGGTGGTGACGGGTTGGTTTTGGCCGGGGACTGAACCTGTGCTGGGGCAGGAGCTGAGGCCATATCTGGAGCCTGAGCAGCGGGCTGGGGTTTGGGCAAAGCTTTAGGAGGAGGTGGGGTTTGTGGCTTTGGCTGAAGTTGGGGTTTGGAATTTCTGCGCGCTGGAGGTATGGGCTTTGCAGGTGGGGTGGGTTTTGGGGGTAAATCTTTAGGTTTTCCAGGTGCTGCCAGTGGCGAGCCTTGAGGCTGGGGTTTGGGCTGCTCTGTGGTGGCAGCAGAGGGTGAGGGAGAGGCTGGAACTGGAACTGGAGCAGAGGCAGGAGGGGAGCCTGGAGCTGTGGATGCTGGTTTGCTTGGGGGAGATGCTGGGGCTGCTGCTTTTGCAGGGGGGGAAGCTGGAGCTGCTGCTGCTGCTTTGGCAGGGGGAGATGCTGGAGCTGCTGTTGCGGCTTTGGCAGGGGGAGATGCTGGAGGAGCTGCTGCTGCTGCTCTTGCAGGGGATGGGGATGAAGCTTTGGCTGGGCCTGAGCTGGAAGCAGAATCTGCAGCTGACTTTGCGACAGACGGGGCTCTCGTCATTGGGGGAGGCCTCTGTACTGGAGGCTTTGAGACTGAGGTGGCCCTCTGGACAGAGCTTGGTTTCTGAGGCTGGCCTGGTTTCTGAGTTGGACCTGGACCAGGTTTCTGGACCTGACTGGGCTTTGGTGCTGATTCAGATTCTCTTTTAGCTGATTCTGCTGATGTGTCCATGCTCTGCATTTTCATTGGTGCACCTTAAATATGGAAACAGAGGGAAGTTATGTTTAACCACAGCTCCATTTTTAATTAACATACACATATAAACAGTAAATAAACACCATACACAGCTTACAAATATATAGATGATCATTTAAAGACCTGGCACCTCTTATTTTTGCGCAGCAGATAGAAAAATAGGCATCCTTAACATTTGGCAAAGTCCAAAGCAGACCATAACACTGATAGGAAGCGTCAGTATACACATGCCCATTCACATAATGACCTATTACATTCATAAGAATCCTTTTTAACCCATCACCAAGAGAGGATTGCTGAAAGAGCAGGCTCTGGATGTTGGGACAAAGATGACCAGCAGAGGGAGGCAGATCAATATTCTTTTTATGGAAAGGATTAGTGAACATGTAACATGCCAAGTGGTTTCTGCAAAAAAAGTATCTGATTATTAGTATAGCTTTGATGGAAACTATAGCGATTGCAGAGAAGAGAATTACAGATGATAATAAAAGACAGCAACGGAGGAAAACACCTTAAATACAAACTCTGTTGCATGAAAACCTGACAAGCAGCATAACAATGGACATAACACATGCAGAGCAAGGAGTGACTGGACAGGGATGAGTTTCCAATGAATGATGATTCACTTTCCTGGATGCAGGATTATGACTCGGTTGGTAATTACATCTAAAAGCCGCCTCTTTAGAGATGGCTGGTGAAATGTTATTCAGACAATTATATGTGTTAAAAAATGTTCAGCTGTTTTGATCATTGCAAAAGCTTCATGAAAATTCATCCCGGAGTAGTTACTGTCAAGCAGCTAAATGGCTATGTCTCTTACGTTTGGTCAGGGATTGTCAAAAAGCATCCCAAAGGATGTTTGGGACTCAGGGCGCATAAAAACCAAAGAAAAAACATTTGAACAGGCATAATTTAGAAATTAGGACGCAATAAGGACTTGGTTGGATATAAACCTTGAATCACACATAATTAGTTTTCTCAGAGATTTGCTTATCTCCCAGTCTTGTTTTTTTCACTTGGGTGAGTGTTTTATCTGATAGGAAATATAAGCCATGAAAGTAAACAAGTTGGCTAATTCTTTGATCTAAATAAAATAATTTGAATCTCCTTATTGAGGGAAGTTAAGAATACAAAAACATTCTCATATCTCTACACATAGGGGATAAAATATCACTAATTTAATTGTCTGGATCCAAGCACACAAAAACTGGCATACATATCCCTGACCCCTTCATTGATTATGTGCAGAGGTTTCATAATAACCTAGAAAACAAGTATTGTGTATCACATAAAGCAGTTTATTTCAGTCTCAGATAACAATTGAATTAGAAATAAAGGCAGCAGCATTTATCCATAAAACATTCAAATATTTCAAAAGGCTTTTTGCAATAAACATGCTAACCATGAATGAAAAAAAACTAACAATGCATGTGATTAAATGGAATTGTAACTTCAAAGCCTATGAAAATGGCCAGATCTTCAACAGCTTGCAGATCCTAACCTCAACTAAAATACCTTATATCCTTTTAAATAATGTTTACAAAAATTCAAACATTATTCCATAAACAAGTTTATGTTTCTACTACCGCAGAATATCTTAGTGTTGAATGATTGTCACTGAAAGGCAGTGTTAATGCAATCCAATGCAATCGAATTAGCACAATGGGAAACTCCCATAATGTGACATAAAGACTAGCATTTTAAGGCAAGTTAAAAGGACCACGAAGCACATGCATTAGCTATGTCCATGCAAACTAAGAGCCCAACAAACATGCAAATGAAAAGCAACTGATGAGCAAAAACTGCAACAATAATGGCATCACTAATTTATCACATAATGCAACTTCTTTTAATAGGCACACTTAGCTTTAAAGCATCGGCCCTGAGCACAAACACAACCACAAACAAGCTTTAGCACAGTCATAATTTCAGTAAAGGTGCTTGCTGGGTGCGCTGAACAGCATATTTGATTGTTAATTCAAGTGAATATTACATGTTATATAGAAAGACAAGGCCATAGTTTAAACAGACAGCAAAGGTCTGCCATCGGTCACAAAATACTGCAGCAGCCATCGGTGTGAACAAACAAATTAAGCCATAGAAGCCACAATGTCAGTTTTGTATTTTGGGGCAACCGATGGTCAATGCTACCTTCAGGGAGGAGAAACAAGTAGAGAAACAAGAGCCAAATGCTTTTACTCACGACTCTGTTGGTTGATTTTGTAACTTTTTCCTGGAGGCAGAATAGTCCACTTCTGGACCGTGTGTTGAGCCCAGGTAACAAGCTTCATTCAGAGTTATTTTGAGATTAGACTCATGGATCATTGTGTCCAGAATTACACAATGTTGTTGCCCAGCAAAATGGCCCTCTGCATTTGTACTCTCTATCACAGCATCCCAAGACAACACGTGCATTTCTCAGGGTGTGTATGTTGGATTAAGAAAATATTTTGGATTCAGCTCTTTATTGAGCATCTAAAATAAGATCACAAAATCTTAACTTGTGGCCCTGCTATGGACTGGTGGACCGTCCAGGGTGTCACGCCCATAGACTGCTTGCCAAGGCTCCAGTCCCCCCGTGACCCCATTTGGGAATAAGCGGTTACGAAAATGGATAGATGGATGGAAAATCTTCATCACCATTCAGTATTTGGTAAACTTCCTGTTCTAAAAATGGTTATATAACCATAAAAAATAACCAATTCAATCATACGCTGCGTGGTACAACCCCAGTTATACAGAGTTTAGGCAAATTAATTCAATTTCTTTTTTTAACCCAGCACTTTCATGGCAGTGTTTAGTTTGATAGGGAAAGTATTGCGGTTTTCAATAAGGAAGTGCTTCATTTTCAGTCAACTCTGTTACATAGGTAAGAGTGACTTGTCAAGTCATGTGCTAGGACAGTGCATCCTAGACCTGGTTCAGCCCTACAGATGAAACACTTTTACAGTGAACAGTGTTCAGACAACCTTGAGGTTGAGGGCGTTGGCCTGAAGTCCTGTTTGGATCAGACAGTCCCTCTTTGAGTGCAGCACTCTGGTAGACAGCGAGGAGGCGGGGAAAGGAAAAAAGAAAAGAGGCAAGGATGAGTTAGTGCTGAGCCGAGATGAATGGCTTTCCTATAAGACATTACATAATAATGTACTGGTGTTTGTCCTAAAGAAGAATTTTAAACACATTGTTTTAAAAAGAATAAATGCTTTATTCATCCCAAGTGGGGGAATTTTTTATTGTCAAATAACTTTAATTGGCCGATATAATTGTTAATAATATACATAGTAACTAACGTATTACAAAACCTTCTATTTTATTTGTGAATACAAATGTCAGGAGCAGCAGAGCTGTTGTGTTACATCATCTGCCATTCGGTCACCTGTTGGGGCTGCACAGTTGTTGGCTTTTGACCCTGAGGGGAGCGGGCGGGTGAGCGGGAGGCGCCAGAGGACCTGGCAGCCAGCACTTGGCTCATCTTAGCCAGCACTACTTCTGCAATCAGGTTGCGGTCCTCTGCCTGGTGATCACCAATCAGCTGCATAGATGAGCCCACAACCTGGAGATGAGAACACATGCCAAATTTAAGACAACAAAGTACCAAGTTATCACATCTAAGTAAAGACTGTAAATCACAATAAACACAATAATAAGTGATGATAAGGTCTTATCACGGGAGTGTTCTTATGGTCAAAATGGAGGGTTTCAGTTTATAATTTCACAGATCAGCAATGATGGACAGATGGGAATAAGTTGGGAACAAGTGGTATAAAAGTGGTATAAAAACGAATGGATGAATCGATGGATGAATCGATGGATGGATGGATGGATGGATGGATGGATGGATGGATGGATGGATGGATGGATGAATGGTAAATACACAAACAATGATCTTTCATTATAGATGCGATAGGAAGTTAGTTTTTCACGTAATCAGTTAAGGAGTTTGGAATGCCAGCTCAGGATTTTGTAAAACTGGAAATTTGCATTTGATTTTTATCATTTTATTAGGCTCTTGAAATTTCCCTTCCCCTAAATAAAAGGTTAATGTCAGTGTTAAAAAAAAGGCTTCAGACACAACAGTGACTGGCTATAGGTGTCATTATGGCCCTTGTGTAACCTCCCACCTCTACTTCTAATGCTTTAAACTTTGCAAACGCATCCTAACTGTCCAAACTATTTATTCTAACAAACCTCAGTACCTGGTACTGCTCTTATTTGTCTGACTCCTCCATCCATGTTGTGTCATCTGTGCTTACGTGTTTAGCATGATTTAAACTGCAGCCTGCCATCTTGCTCCACTGAATTGTTTACCAGTTCTAACAGTCAGCCCACAATGAAATACAAGCTCGATTCTTAACTTTTAAACAGTGAGCATATTTCAGTGGCTGGGTTTGGCAATCGAAACATTTTCCATATGGAGACTTCACCACAAACTTTTTTCAGTTGCAGGAAAGGTATTATTAAAGCAGAGATGATTTCAACACTGTAGTCACGACTAAAGTCTATGAAACACAAGACAGGCACACTGAAAGACATGGAACAGAGTGGGGTGAAAGACAATCCACAGACAGAGTAAAGCATATCTCAGCACTTTGTTGAGAAGCATAGAATATCTACAGAATTTCTACACCTATCCTTTAAAAATTGCAAGACAGTTCTTAGTCAATCTCCTCCTGTTAATTCAAGTTAGGTTAAAAAGCAAGACAATGCAGGATCCAAGGAATTTAAACTAGGTCACACATACTAAATTTGAAAAATTAAGCTTCTTAAGAAACTCTTCCCAGGCTGGTTTTCATAAGTCAAAATGAATCCATTGAAAATGCAGAAGAGAAGATATACTAAATAAAAATGGCATCATACTACATTACCAGCCGATATTTTATGACTCTCACCTCTGTGATGTAGTCGTTGCCATCCTTACCACAGATAGCTTTGACAGCACAGACATCTAGACCTCCAAAGATCTCTGAGCAGGTGTCAACCCAGAGTTTGTATCTGTCACAAAGGACAATAGCAGAGAGGAAAGTGAATTAAGAAAAACACCATAACCCATGGTACTTTAGTGAAAGTTGGAGTATTTTACTTCACTACATTGAACAGAAGATTGAGGATGAAGACAGAACATTTGCTCCCATGTGGTTGACAAAGAAAAGATTAGCTTTTGCACACTACCTCATCAATAATATTGACTTCTATATTACTCCAGCAAAATACGTGCAGCTGGTTGCTTTTAAGGGCATTCATTCTGCAAGAGAACCATCCTATCTCCAGCTCCAGGCTGTGCTTGCTCTCTGGGAGACTGAACACAATCAAAGTACAGCTAAAACAGATTAATGTTCACCCTAAGACTAATGTTACTGTACAAGAACAGGCAATGAACCCTTCCATACACTGTCAGACTCAGCAAACATTTCATATCTGTAGAAACAAAAAGGTAATCTGATCTAATTTAATCCACAATAAAGTAAATTTAATCTATGAAAAACACAGGTGCAAGGCTGAATCATTAATATGAAACATGAACTAAATAACATACATCTGCATGTTTACCAATGTGAGTAGTTTTTGGCTGAACAAATCTGCTGTAACAGTGCAGTATGACTAACATCGATGTAACACGAAAGGCGGGACATATGTGACACAAGAGCAGCCGGAGCATCACTAATGTAAAGACAGTGCTCACTTGTCAGTCATGGCTACTTGTTCCAACATGGCGGATCCAGTGTTGCTTTTCCAATTACCAGAGATGGATGTTCGCCTGGAAATGAAGAGGAAATTGTGCATTAAACTGCTAGACGCGTCCCCTTCACTGTGAAAATCATCAGCAAAGTTAATTAACAAAGGGTCAACTACAAGTCTTACCTGAAAGTACTAAATGAACAAGAACATGTACTTACATGTAAGCTTTGTAGTCAGAGCCGATTTTCTGTACCCTGATGTCATACTTGGCGTCTACAAATGGCTCAGTGGTGCAGTAGGTCTGAGTGATGGCCACGACACTGGCAATGTCCTGGAAGTCACTCACATTGTCCACTTTGACCTGCAGAAAAATTGTGTATTTTCTTAGTCTCACAACCACTGTTTTGAGCCTGTAAGATTATCCACAGTTGCATGAAAGCAAAATAAGTTTAACCCCATCCTGAAGTGGTTTAACTTGGCATCAATATCGCACATATGACAATATGTTAAAAAGACCAAAATGCTCAAAACATTCATAACAAATGTCCAGCGCTTTGTAGTTTTTGTGTCCTTTTGGCTTAATATGACAGAACACGCCAGAATTACAAGAAAAGTAACTCAGTTTTGGATTGAGCAGTTCTTTTGATGTGTGCTGGTGGATCACTGAGGCTTTTAGAAACAGTTTGCAATAGCCTTACCCAGAACATGTTAAGCACATGTTTTAATCAATGACTGGACTGTGTGAATAGATTTACAGGGAATACCATAGATGACCTGTTGTCAAGATTTGAAAACAGGAGGATACTCTGTGTAGTAAAATAATCTAATTATTCCAAATACAGTAGTATTTTATTGTAACTTTGTTTTTCAGATGAAGCAGACTGCTCAGTTGTGACATAAAAGTTTTTCTGGGTACAAAAACATATTTTCAAATGCTTCCCAAAGTTCATCATATTAACATGGAACCATATTCCTATCTTATATTAAATGGTCCTTCATTCACAAAAGTTAAATGAAGTAAACTCTTTGCAATTTCAGTGTATCTAAAATGTTAAGCCCCTAACTATTATTTTGTATTTAATTTAGTGTAGCCAGTTTTAAAAATAAAGATTAAACACCAGACAGTTGTACAGAAAAACATGAAGGAGTCAATCTCACAGTACCTTCCCCATCCCTGAGTGAGCATGTCCGATCTTCACTACTACTGGGAAGCTGGGTGTTGTAATCTGCAAAGACGGAGGATAAGTAAAGGGTGATTAATAGTGAGCAACAGAATATTGACAGCAGCAGTTCTTCATAACAACACAGTGGAAAAATCCTGCAGAGAGAAAAGACAGGCTCATTTTGCAAAAGTGGTTGTCAGCAATTGTCTACTTTCTAATATTGGTAAAAGCCTGCCGCTGCTGCTGCAGCAAAAAAAACAAAAAAAAAACAGGCTCTAAGATTAAACTTTCACAGTCTGTGAACAAAAACATGAGATTCAGTTGAGGAAAGTGATACATAAGTGTGCAACAAATACACTGCAGTAAAAAAAAAAAGAAATTCCCTGATGTAAAACAAAAACAAAAGGAGAAAAAACCCTCATTTACAGGATGTCGAAGTTTATCATGTGTAATGTTTACCGTGAAGTTTAATGGGCTTCTAAGAATTCAGCAAAGCACACAGAAGAGTAACGTGGGAATGTTCGGCGTGGGATGTTATCAGCATAATTCAGGAGGAGCAATTGCTTTGATCTTAAAGATGATTCAACTTATTGCAATTCAGGCTCCCAAGAAAATTAGCAGCTCGAATGTAGAAGAATAAAAGACAGGGAATCACAGAATTTATTATCTTCCTCCTTGTAGAACTGTGTTCTGCAGAAGAGAACACAATTCTGCAGACTCAAGAAGCAAAGTGATTCTCTAAAAGTGAATCACATTTATGGTGGTCTATGGGAGGAGAGATGACAGAAGGCTTCAAAAGAGGACAGATGAAGAGGCAAAGGATGACACGTTTTTTGTTTTTGTTTTTTTCTGCATTTCAGGAGGCCGTCCCTAAATTGTTGAGCACATAAGAGGCTCCCTGTGTGTGACCCTCTCAGCATTCAAGACCAGAGAGTGAGGCGATCCAACTATTGTAAGTCTCTCTGTGTGTTGTCCACAGAGAGGGGGCAGAGAGGAAGAAAGAGGAAGAGAAAAGAGAGCAGCCGCAGCCTTCAACTCAAGTTATTTGCTGCAGCTTGAAATCAGAGGTGTACTTTAAACTTATGAAAACATTTCTATCCACAGCTGCTTCTCGGCTCAGCGGAGCTCATCCTACCAATTCAGCCCCGCTGTCTTATTCACCACACACCCCCTTTGCTGACTGTTGGCCTGATTTGCTGCCCGGGAAACTTAACAGGATCAGAAGAGGCTGCCGAGCGTTCATCAAGTGGAGGAGTCAGAGGTAGCCAGAGCCATCATGGCCGTGTCCCAGGAGCAGAGTGTGTGTCTGGGACTCTGGATGCTCCTTTTCCTTGGAGCAGGCATGGAAGGAGTTGTGGAGGGATGTAGCTGCCACCCAGCACACCCACAGCAGCTCTTCTGCAGTGCTGAGATCGGTGAGTTTCCAGTTAGAGCTTTATTGTGACGTCCTAAACATTGGAAATTTAAATAATTCTACCTCTAAAACACGGGATGATTTGCATGTTAGTCCATTTAATGTGATTTGTTTATACTTAACTAATTTCTGCTCAAAATATTTCACTGAACTGCTATAATCCTACAGTGGGAAATTTGAAATGTTATAAGAGAGGACTGAATTTTTGTTGAGTTCCTCTTCTTGAAATAGTATGTAACATAAAAGAGTCCCAAATCCAAATGAATATCTGCTATTTAGTGGTTATAGCATTTATTAATCTTCCTCCTCTAAATGACAGAGAAGCTAAATTAAATCAACACGCTTTCATCTGCTGTCTATCAAACTGTCCCTCTGTCTTTCTGTCCAGTATCCCTCCCACCATCCAGTTCTTTCTTGTCAAAGCACAAGCCAAAACCAACACTCTGCTTTGACTTTGAGTACTTGGCTGCAGAATGTGGAAAGCTGGAGTATGTGCTTCAGTCAAAGGTCATACTCCTGCAGGGGAGCGAAAGAGAGACAAAAAGGAAAGAGGTTCCTTTTTCTTGGTTTTGATTGGGTCTCTGTCTTCCTCCGAAGCCCTTTAAATTGCTCTAAAATTTTGTTAAAAACATGAAAAAAGAAGGTTTGGCCTCCTTTTACAGCCTTCATGGTCAAATTAAATGTGGATAATGGGAGTTCAACAAGAGTATTTGGGGCATGTTTTCAAAACAGCATTTTACCTTTTATGACTAAATAGGATGTTCAGTCAGAGTGATTGTGTTTTCCGTAAAAGAAAACGGTTGAAAAGGAAAAATGTAAGGAGGTGGAACTAATCAAAACAGCATCAGTTATAGGGACTGTCAAGCTTTCAGTGGCACTGGGATGAAATCGAATTGAATTTTAGAGCCATTGACCATGAATGCGTGGGATTATATGGGTAAGAAAAACAGCCCCAAACCACTTTGATGACACGGCATGATTCAAGCTTCTTGTTATTGTCTTGTAGATAGCATATCTAACATAAGTGAGACATAGTATCAGACAAAAACATGTTGCAATCAAATGAATTGCAGAAAAAACTGTTGAACTGCGCAGAGCTGATTTTTATTTAAACTAGCAGCCACAACAAAAATGCCAGTAATGTATAGCAGAACCAAAAGTGATAAAAGTGACCGGAAATAAGGATAATCTGTGTTAAATTTTTTAAATGGAAACTTGTAACATAGCAGTTTATTCGTGCTTTGCATGGTAGCATGTGAAAAAGCACCCTATGTAAATTTACAGTGATAATTCCAAGGTTTTTATATAATCTTCAATAAAAAAAAAAAGGCTGAGGTCTGACTCAGTCTGATCTCATACCACGGATGGACTGAGGCGAAATGAGTACCAAAATACTTCTGCCTGCATGTTCCACACGCTTCTGTTTCCTGTTGATCATGCCAAACAGAATCATTCCCTATTCAGTGTGTACTGGATATAGCGTGCCGACCAGGCCGGCTGACTTTCTGCAGGCTTCCTGCGCAAATGACCGAAGTATAATAATAATCATGATAATAGTAGTTGTTCTGTCAAGATAATTGCTTTTAAATGATTTTTCTCTTTTTACATTTTTTTTAATACAATTTACAGATAAAGACTACTTCTCAAACTTCAAAAGAATGAATCAATTTCATTTACCTTTTCATCAGTGGAAGTTAATTACTGTTCAGTGCCAGCCTGTGTCAAAATGGTCATTTGAGTTTGAAAAAACATGTTACAACACTTTAATCCAAAATTTACACAAGCTAACTAAAAAGGGACTAATAGACTGCTATATCATTATGTGAGCTGATATAATGTATATATGAATATATAGGGAGAGAGAGAGAAAGAGAGAGAGAGATGGATGTATGGAGTGCCAGACATCCACTTCAAAATTGCCGTAAAACTCAATGTTGCTCATGGAGTTTTGTCTCATGGGTCCAACTACACTTCAGCGCTACATAAAAAAATTAAAGTCAGAAAAGCACCGCATACTTTTATCATGACCTTGCGACAGACCATGAAAATGTGTCAATAAAAAAACTAAGTTAGTAGATCCAACTATAGCTGTGAGCATAAAATGATCACTTACAACAACACAAAATCAACAACTATTGACTGAACTGAGGAGTCTGCTTTAAACATGTTCCAGATTATTTATTTTTTTGCTGGTGAATGATAATTCTAAATGTACTATAGATTACATTTTGATACTGGGAACTCCAATACACAAATGGCCAAGAATGTTTGTATGTGTTTCTATACAATTTCTTCTCCGTCAGCTCAAAGGTTTGAATCTTTTCTGGAGTTAAATGGAGGAATACTTGTCTGAGAGGACAGTCAGGGATCTCTTCCGGTAGGACATCCATTTCTGAGACTATGAACAGCAAAGTCTTCATTTACTTGTGGTATTCAGAAGAAAAGCTTTCATTTGTTGGCGTCTGTGGTTACACCGTCCGGCTTGTTTATGAAGTAAAGGCTGGTGGTGGCCTTAAGTTGACCTGACAGTGCTGTCAGTCGATGAGCTCTGTGAATAAAGCTGTACCTCTGAGTAATATCCCATCTGCGCACAAACCTTGGACGATTCCTTCGCTGTGTTCGTGTATTTAACATTGTGTGTAAGTCTGTGAGTGTGTGTTAGCTGGATGGTGGCCAGTCCATGCCAGCACAGCCTACTCCATCTCTCTCTTTCTTTCCCTCTCACTCCCCACTTCATTTCCATGTCTATGGGCTCTGTCTGATGGTCTGCATACTAACAATATCAGTGTGAAAGCCCACTGACAGTCCAGCTTTGTGAGCATGACAAGGGTGCCAATTCATCTGGGAGGGGGAAGTTACTTACTACATCAGTTCTCATGGTACAAGTTTGCAATATTTCTCTTGGGTTATGTAGCTTTGCGGCAGATAAACAGGCCCTCTCACTCCGCAGGTGTGCCTGTCTTCATGTGCATAGCACAGCTGCAGCAACTCAAGTGGGTAACCCAGCCTCAGCAGTTCAAACCTATCTAGATAAGGCAGTGGGAGGGGGGTTACAGTTCTGCTTAAACTGAGCCAAAACATTCACTTTAGAAAGAGAACTTGGAACGGTTTTCAGTTGAGCTACTGATATTAGCATGTACTACTGACAATTATGTTATTCGATGTCATTCAATGTCTGGAAGAAGATCTAAGGGGGCAGACAGCTGCTTAGTAAGTTATTATAACCACCCTACTGCTGTGCGTGAAATGTAACTGGACCAGATCTGGATCTGGATCACTAGTAGCTTCAGTCCTGCATTAATTCAGAGCAACATTCAGAATGCCAACTGTTTTATTCTTCAGTGGACTACTTGCCATTGATAGGTTCCACAGATATGATGAATCAGAAGGAAATTTGAAGAGAGGTACAATAATCATTATAAATGGGGCAGCTAGTATTTCTTTGAAATTAGCTTATTCAGTGGTGTAATCATAGCTCAAGTAGCTTGGTGATGATAAAGTACCGCTTCACATCATGACAATATGTGTTGGGAGTATGTGATGTTTCTAAATAATATGTTTGAACCACCATAGGCAACAAGGCTTCACCCACGAACAGCGACGATGAGTCTAAAACTGCAGTTAGATGTCCGATGTGCATTTCATTCAG